ACACACACACACACGCGCTTCAGGTACAGTCGTCCTCGGTGGCCTGTGATTGACTTGACAAATGTGCTGTGGAGCAGTGCTCTGACAATATATACCCAGCTGGCTTCATGTGGAAACCTGCAGGCTTTTCCCTTCAGCACTCCTTCACCCCATCAATCATCGCTGCAACCTGAGGCAGCTCTCATTCTCAAAAAATAAATAAAGAAAAGACTGTCATTTCATCATCATGTGCATCATTCTTTATAATCATCATCATCATCATCATCATCCCTGATATAAGTGGGATCATATATATAGATTAGAGGTGGGACTCAGTGGGAATAAACTACCTGAATAAAATACCTTACAACTGCTGAAAAATGTATTTTAAAAAAAAGGTAAAACATCATGTTGCTCCTACAGTTTTAGTTCTTTTTTGCTATCTCAGGGAATATTGCCACAGCTGGACCGGTCCTGTCAGACCCTGACAAGGGGAAAAATCATCCTCATCTCTGTGCCTTCACGCCTAGCCTGCTGTCACAGCCTGTTGTCAGTCCTCAGTCAAGCTGCAGTAAGGAGACTGCAGCTACCATGCCTCCAGGAGTCCTCCAAAAGTCCCACGTCACTCGTATTCTGGCTTCTTATCAGTGACTTCAGCTCTCATAGAGTTGAGTTACGCCATGGTGTGGCTCCATGTTATTCCATAAGGGATTTGCTTTGGTCATTATGCACCATAGCTGCAGCCCTGAGGTTGTCTAAGGACTGCTGTCTGTTCTTTAGAGTCAACTCAAAATGTGAAGGAACTTTGAGTGTGCAGGAAAACTTCAGGGCAGAAAGACTCGGCAAAATTTACCCTGATGGTAAACCTGAATGCTTTAGATGTCTTCATTGTCCAGTCACCTTAGCTTCTATTCTGATTCTCACTGTGAGCAGCGTTTGGAAGCACATTTTTCACCTTTTTCTGCCTCCATTTGCTCTCAAAACAGCCTCAGTACAAGATGTTGAACTTTCTTTTTTTTTTTTTTTTATTATTTGAATGATATGCAGCAAAGAGTCTGGCTAGCCAGGAGTCAAACCAGGGACTCCCTACCTTGAAGGGATGAACATGGTCAGCAACAATACTCTGACAGACTGTGGCATTCAAACCATGATTGATTGGTATTAAGGGCCCAAAGAAGTAAGACATTCCCCAATGCATTTAACAACCACCACCAATCTGGACTGTTGACACAAGGCAGGTTGGCTCCATGGATTCAAACTCTGACCCTACCATCCGCTGCCTCAGGTCTCCGGCCTCCAGGTCCATCAGGCCAGACTACGTTTTTCTAGTCTTTCTCTGCCCAGTGTTGGTGAGTCTGTGTCCACTGCAGCCTCAGGTTTCTGTTCTTGGTGACAGGAAGTGGAACCTGACGTGGTCTTCTGCTGTTGTAGCTCATCCATCTCAAGGTTGGATGTGTTGTTCACTCTGAAGCTTTTCTGCTCAGAACAGTTGTAAAGAGTGGTTATCTGAGTGACCGTAGCCTTTCAGTCAGCTCCATCCAGTCTGACTATTCTGCTCTGACCTCTCTCATGTTTCCATCCGATCCGCAGACCATCACTGGAAGTTTAGTAAAAAACTCTAGAGACGGTTGGGTGTAAACATCCCTGGAGATCAGCACTTTCAGAAACACTCGAACCACTCTGACACCAACAATCATACCATGGTGAAAGTCACTGAGACCGCATGTTTTTTTTAACATTATGTGAAGCTCCTGACTTGTATCTGCAGGATTTTATGCACAGCTGCAATGTGATTGGCTGATTGGATAACCTACGTGTCAGTATCCCTGTATTCAGGATTTCCCTTCTAGCAGATAAAGTCACTGTTTTTGGCATATCTCTCACTCCCAGCCTGAACACACACCTCCTCCATTCACACAGTAAATGGAAGAACTGCTGTCATTGAGGTATGGTAGAGGCAAAAGTAAAAATAAGTGAAGATAACTTTGGCACCTTTTGTTGAGTTTTCAGAAGGCCTGTCTCTTGTCCGAGAACATAAAAGCCTCAAACATTTCTCTGTTACATCAGATGAGCAACCTGTGCTTGGCAAGACTAATGTGGCTGCACTGAGATGTTCAGGGTTTCAAATTCAAATTCAAAAGATCTTTCAGCGTATTTGCACGGCTCTACAGAGAACAGATGAGTGAGACAGCGAGTGGGATGACAGGAGGGTTATGTTGATAAAAAATATAAATATAAACAAACCCTAATTTCTATGTGTGAAATTGCAGGTGAAACAGGTATAAGACCTGTTAGCAGGGGCGGATTTCTTGGCCTCCATTAATCCAAGGTTGCAGCTCTCTTGAGAGCATCATCCAAAAGACATCACACTGGACACTGCACGTCCTTGGTTCCTGAGCCATACACCCTGCAGTGTGTGTGTGTGTGTGTGTGTGTGTGTGTGTGGTCGGTCAGTCTCATTTGTTACTGCTGGAGTTGGCTGCTCTGCTCCAAGAGTGTCTGGACATAGAAAGTGTAAGCTGAGTTTAGCCTTTCTTAAAACCCTGGCATGTGTGCGCTCCCAGGTTTCTTTACATCAAGCAACTTATAGAAAAGCGATGCTTGGACCTTTTTTGACAAATGTTCATCCAAGAAAGTTCACAGTGGACACTGCACTTCCTCTGGTCCTCAGTAATACACCTGCGAAGTCTGAAGTTTATCAGATGAGCTGTTGTTGAGAAAGTCAGACAGAATGAGATTCATCCATTTATAAGATAAGAGTCTATACTTGTTTTGTAATGTGATTCATTACTCACAATAGGAATATGAAAGGAATACCATTGAATCAAAAATACTAATAAAAACCACCTTTAATATTAATTTATTATTTTTACACATAGAACTATTAATGATTTTTATTCACTAACCCTGTTAAGTGAGACACTTGAAATAATAATCAAGAAAATTATATTTTATAAATGCAGGTGTATGTAAATATTATTTCAGATGAGTTTATTAGAATTTATTGATCTCTTTAGTTTCTTTCATTATCATTTGTAATTATGTTTACATCTATTTTAAGTTGAATATATTTATGCTACATTTATATTATACACACAGTATGGAACGCATGCATATCAATCAATCAATCAATCAGTCAATCAATCAATCAATCAATCAATCAAACTTTATTTGTATAGCACTTGCAGTTCAAAGTGCTTCACAGATGACTGATAAGCTAAAAAGAAAATATAAAGAAAATGAATAGAAATAAAGAAAATAAAAAATAAAAGAACAGATAAAATAGAATAAAATAAAGTGACTAATAACATAAAACCATATTTAATTAATTATGATAATGATGAAAATATCATATAAAGTTATTTGTTTTTTGTGAATTGTACTTCATTATATTACACTCTTTTGTACATACTATTATATCTATCACTCCCATTTTGCTCAGGGAGATGAGGAAGCTGCTCCATTTATTTCAAATGTGTACAAGCGTCAGTCTGAAAACAATGACATGTCTATAAACTGACATGATAAATGTGTGTTAGAAGAAGAGTGAAAGACAACAGAGGAAAAAACTAGAGAGACACTGGGATCCTGAAAAGAGGCCTTTCCTGCCTCCTAGTGGAGTCATGGGTAAAAAAAAAAAAAAAGGACTGACTACATCAGGGGAGCAGCAATAGGATTTATGTGGCTTTGTCACTGTAGCATCATACATATATTTACATGATAATGTCACATCCCTGTTTTATAGGTTATATAGATTAATCACATCGTCGTGGAGATTTTATGTAAAAGGAGTCCCTGGTATGCATCAAGGTTTATAGTGAAGTTATTAAGTGTAAATGGAAAGGAAGGGAAACACTTTAAATGGTTCAAATCAACAGTTTACACACATGAACAGTGCAACACAATGTTGCTGCCTCCAGTTTCAAGGCGGATTTATTTAGTCATTTCTACAAGAAGACAGATTTTCCTGCTCTGACACCAGACCGAATGTTTCTGTAATAACAACAACTATAACAACAGTAATGTGGTTAATTTAGCAACATTTTCTCAGATTATGGTGAAAAAAAAAACAAATAAAAGTCTTTTGAAAGATTTTTAGAAGCAGATTTTTCACATTATTTCAGATAGATTTGGATTCGATCTGTTGAAACTGGTCGTTTTAGAGAAGGGTGGTTTCTCTCTTTCAAGACCCTGTGAATATGTGTGTGTGTGTGTGTGTGTGTGTGTGTGTGTGTGTGTGAGAGAGAGAGAGAGAACAAGAGAGAGAGACAGAGAGAGAGAGAGAGAGAGTTTGTGTGTTCATGTTGACTGTGTCGGTGACGTAACGGCCCCTGGGCTCCTCTCTCTCTCTCTCTCTCTCTCTCTCTCTCGCACACACACACACACACACACACACACACACACGGAGAAACGCAGTCGGGCAGCAGCAGCAGACGCTCAGTGCTGCTCTCAGTGTGCGGAGCGGAGGAGGAACCGACGGCACACTAGTAGAAGGCTCTGCCCGTGTAGTTATGCCTCAGCTCCGGGGATATTTATCTCATCTCGCTCTCGCTTCTCTTTTTTCTCCTCTTTTCTGCTACCGACTTCACTTTCACCTGTCTCCTCTCTGTTGGAGAAGGCGGTAAGGAGCGCGAGCTGTGCGTCATGGTGCGTCTTTGCGCATTATTTCTGGATCTTTAAAAAAAAAAAAGAAAAAAAAAAGAGTTGTCTTTTTTCTTTTTGCCCGGGCATTAAAGAAAATGAAGCGCTTTTTCAGTGTGAATGAGAAGAGATGGAGCGTTTCACAGCCCGTGTCTCTCTCTGAATGTTTGGCTGCAGCTGCTGGAGATCTGCATGAAGCCACAGAATAAATCGGCGCTCTTTATAAGGGGAAAAAAGGGGGTTGCAGTAAGCGGCTTTTTTCTCCCTCTGATTCTCCTCTGCCTCTGACAATGTGCCAAGTCCATCCACCACACAGGAGCCCGGTGATTTGCGGTGGTTTCCCTTGTTTTCTTTTCAAGGATTGATTTTTATTTATTTTTTTCCTGGGGACGGATTTTGGATTTTTCTTTTTGGATTCAAAGTGAAGGTCAATGGAGAGATTTGCGCAACTCCGGTGCGTCACGGCCCCATTTTAAACAACAAATAACGGTGGTGCGCCTGTTTTCTGCGCGCCCGTGTGTTTGTGCGAGTGTGTGTGTTTGTGTGTGTGTGTGAGAGAGAGAGAGAGAGAGAGAGAGAGAGAGAGCGCCTCTACCTCTTTTTTCTCCCCCCTCTGTGAGAACTCACTCCCTGATATTTTTTTTTTCTTTCCATCCAAGGCTCCTGCTGCAAAGTTAAATGCTGGATCTACACTTCAGCGACCATTTTTGGCTGTAAAAATGCTGAGCGGCGTCCTCTTGCTGAGCGTCCTCACGGTCACCAGCCTGTCACCGTCCGAAACGGAGAGCCGCAAAACTTCAGCCTCCAAAGACATCTGCAAGACCCGCTGCGCCTGCGAGGAGCGCGAGAACATCCTGAACATCAACTGCGAGAATAAAGGATTTACCACCGTCAGTCAGTTCCAGGCGCCCCCGAATAAAATCTCCCAGCTTTTTCTAAATGGAAACTTCCTGTCTCGGCTCAGCGCCAATGAGTTTGTCAATTATGGCAATGTCACCTCGCTGCATCTGGGGAATAACGGCTTGCAGGAGATCCGTACCGGCGCTTTTAATGGGCTCCGCTTCCTAAAGCGGCTCCACTTGAACAATAACAACATGGAGGTGATTAAAGAAGACACCTTTGCAGGGCTGGAGAGTTTGGAGTATTTACAGGCAGACTATAATTACATCAGCGCCATAGAGCCGGGCGCTTTCAGCAAACTGAATAAACTCAAAGTGTTGATCCTCAACGACAACCTGCTGTTGTCTCTGCCTCCTAATATTTTCCGCTTTGTGCTCCTCACTCACTTGGATTTACGTGGCAACCGGCTCAAGATGCTGCCGTTTGCCGGGGTGCTGGAGCACATCGGCGGCATCATGGAGATCCAGCTGGAGGAGAACCCGTGGAATTGCACCTGTGATCTGATCCCTCTCAAATCCTGGTTGGACACTATCTCTGTCTTTGTGGGGGACATCGTGTGCGAGACGCCGTTCAGGCTGCACGGCAAAGACATCACCCAGCTCATCAAGCAGGATCTGTGCCCGCGCAGGAATGCTGGGGAGCGTGTCCACCCCCCCTCTGACTCTCACTTTCAAGGGGCCCTGCCCCCGACCTACCACCCTGGCGTTATCACCCCCACCCGCGCCCCGAAAGCCTCCCGCCCGCCCAAAATGCGCTACAGGCCCACCCCTCGCATCTCAAAGGACAAACACGTCTTTGGGCCCATAATGGTTTACCAGACGCGCTCCCCGGTGCCCATGTTGTGTCCCAGCGTGTGCGTGTGCACATCACAGAACCCTGACAGCGGGTTGAACATCAACTGCCAAGAGCGGAAATTGCATAACATCAGTGAGCTGAACCCCAAGCCCTCCTACCCAAAGAAACTCCACCTGACCGGTAACTACTTGCAAGTCATTTACAGAGCTGATCTGACTGAGTACAGCTCTCTGGAGCTGCTGCACTTAGGGAATAACAGAATAGCAGTGATTCAGGAGGGGGCATTTGAGAATCTGACAAACCTCAGACGACTCTATCTCAATGGGAATTACATTGAGTCACTTTCCCAGTCGCTCTTCGCCGGTCTGCAGTCGCTCCAGTATCTCTATTTGGAATACAACATCATCAAGGACATTTTCCCACAAACATTTAACTCTTTGCACAATCTGCAGCTGCTGTTCCTCAACAACAACCTGCTGAGGTCGCTCCCGGACAACGTGTTCGGGGGCACCATGCTAACCAGACTCAACCTGCGGAATAATCACTTCTCCTACCTTCCGGTGAAAGGCGTTCTGGACCAGCTCTCTGCGTTCATCCAGATCGACCTGCAGGAGAACCCCTGGGACTGCACCTGCGACATCGTGGCGCTCAAAAACTGGATGGAGCTGTCCAGCACCAGCGTGGTGGTGAACGAAATCACCTGTGATTCGCCCTCCAAGCACGCGGGCCGCCTGCTGCGCTCGCTCCGCAACGAGGCCATCTGCCCCGAGCCTAGCGAGGTGCCCCCACCACAACATGCCCCCCCTACAAAAGCCCCTACGTTAATAAGCCCTGGCACTGAGGCCACCACCCCTTCCTCGTCCTCCTCTTCTTCTTCCTCCTCTTCCTTTAGCTCTGTCAGCCCCACTGAATCCAGACTCCACACCCCTGAGTTACACCCCGAGGTCCCCCTTTCAGTCCTGATCCTTGGGCTTCTCGTTGTTTTCATCCTGTCCGTCTGCTTTGGCGCAGGCCTCTTTGTTTTCGTCCTGAAACGGCGCAAAGGGGTGGAGCACGTGCCAACAGGTGCCAACAACTTAGATCTCAACTCTTTCCAAGTACAATACGGTTCCTACACTCCTGAACCGACCCAAGACAAAACATCTGAGAGCCACGTGTACAACTACATCCCCCCGCCTGTAGGCTCCATGTGCCAAAACCCTATTTACATGCAGAAGGATGGCGAGCAGGTGGCTTATTACCGCAACCTGAAGGAGCTCAGCTTTGGGCCCCTGGACGCAAAGAAGGATGACGTCCTCACCCGCAGCCCGGGGGCCTACACCATCAGCACAGTGGATTTTATGGATAAGTCGCCGACGTCGTGCGGTTTGACCACCCCGGAGCCTCCTGAGATGCTGTATCAAAACTTAGGGGAGCGGCCCAACAAGGAGCTCCCGACAGTCGCAGGTGCCCCTCCTTTCAATTACAACTTTTGCACTTTACCTAAGAGACCTTGCATCGTGCCCCCCTACGAGGCTGCTACGGCCCGGCGGCATCTCTCCAACCAGGACAGGTTGAACAAAACTGTGCTGTACGGGACCCCCAGGAAATACTACGGGGCCGAACACCCTTCCAGACACAATGAGCACCCGCTCCTGCTCCCCGGGAAGCTAAAAACAGAACCAGACTACCTGGAGGTTCTGGAGAAACAGACTGCGATGAGCCAACTGTAAGATAGCGACAGTGACCCCTCACCCCAACCCAACCTCCCCCCGCTCCGCTGCCTTCCCCTCACTCTCTAGGTTCTGTGCAGCATTCATAATAATCACGCAGTTACTGTAATAATATCCCTCTATATATCTATCTTATCTATCTGTGTTCAATCCGACCTGATTGACTGGAAACGAACTGAAGCCTTTGATCATCTTTTTTCTCTCTTCCTTTTCTTCTCTTTTTGCTTTTCAAGATGTATAAAAGGAGTATAAGAAGTATATTATTATGCAGTTCTATTTTTTCTCCTGGAAGGTATAAATTATTTCTTCTTCTTCTTTTTTGGAAAAAATGAAGTTCTAAAAGACTTTGATGACGGCAGGTATACTAATGGGCAAGGACTGTGTACAAATACGGCTTTGTGCTTTTTCATAAAACTGTATTTTGTTTTACCTGTGAACAACAGAAAAAAAAAAAGTTATGAGATAATTATTCTTTGTAGAAGAGGAAATGCTACAGATTGACATTCCTGTACATACTTAGCACACACGAGACAAACGGTGAGTGTTGAACCATAAAAAGAAAAAAAACCTTTTCAAAAATCCAATGAGCGGCGAAATCTTACTCTACTTAACTCCAGAAAGTGCCTTTGCACTCCACTATTTTATCGACAATGCTCTCTGCAAAATGGAAATGTTCCTTTTTTTCTGAAAGTGCTGTATTTTAAAGAATCAGAATCTTTATGTAAAATAGAAGACTTATTTGTCCGTTAAAAAAAAAAGAAAAGAAAAAAAAAAAAAAAACCAAGAAAAACTTGAGACTGAGTGTGAACTGATATGTGAGTTGTTGACAGGGAGAATCATGTTCTTTTGCTCTGTCTTTGGAGATGTACAACTTCTAGAGAACATTGTATGCTATAGGGGAGCAATACAGCGTGGCAAAGATTGCGCCATTAAATTTTCACTGAAGCACTTTGTCAAGATCCCGAGCTTGGGGTAAATTTTGTTTTAGACTTGTGCGTGATTATTTTTGGATGCTGTGGACGGCTCTGATGTGTGTGTAATTGTGTGTGTGTGTGTGTTTGTGTGTGTGTGTGTGTGTGTGTGTGGGGGGGGGCGGGTGTGGGGGGGGGGGTTAGGGTTAGGGTTAGGGGGGGCAGAAAAAATGAAAATAGAGCTCGCCTGCAGCTCCGTCTTCTCTCTCTCCCTCTCTCCGGTGAAATGTGATGGCTCCTCTAATGATTGATGAGCTGAGCTTTTCTTTTTTTTTTTTTTTCTTTTTTTTTTTCCGCTCCTCCTGAGTTGAGTTGAGTGATAGCTCCTCCGTTCCTTCTTTCCACAACCGAACATATCAGTTCAAGGTTTTCTCTAAACTCCTACTCCTCCCTCTGAGAATCTCAACTCCATCCATCCTGATGACGCACAGCACAACACTAATGTTTGATGTAGAGGGTCAATATTTCCTTCAGCAGTGGACGAGCGTGTGTGGAAATATCACTGAGGGCTGTAAAGTGATTGAAAAAAACAATAGTTTGGCCTCAGGAGAGGTACGTCGATTGAGAGCTGCCGCTTCTTGGGCTTTGCAATTATAACAGGAGAGAAGAATTGTCATTAGTGTGGCAATTAAGAGTAGTGGAGAGCAGTAAAGGGAAGTGTGCCTGTGCGGAAAATGGAAGGCAAGTCTGCAGGTATAAAGAGAAACCATCTTAAGACATCCAGCATTCCTCTGCATCCCGCTGTTAAGAAATGCCACTATTTTTTTCCAAACCACATAACTGATGTCATTTCTGGCTTCTTGGGTTAGCAGCTGACTGCACTGAGCTGCTGCTGTGGATGAGCAGCGTGAGAAAATACAGTTCTGCAGCGCAAAGAGTGTCACTGCTTAAAGAGCATTTGTCATGAAACACACAGCGTATCTCCACAGCAATGCTGCCGGTTCGTGTGTGTATGGGTGCGTCGGTGTCATTATCGGCCGTGCGCGTTTACAGGCCTGTCCTGCTCCTCCCTCTCCTCCCCCAGCCGTGTGACATGGATGAACTGTGCTACCCGCTGTAATGCTAATTCTGTTTTCTGTCCTTCAACTCGAGTTGACATTGGCTCTTTGTATACTCTGTGAATGGCCTCCCAGCGGCCAAATTCTTCCCTCCCCACCCCCCCCACCCCTAATCCCCCCCTTTCTCCCCTTTTGTATATATCCCCGGCCCGCCGCTGCCGCCCTCCTCCATCTCCTCCCCTGTCTTTTGTCCTCATGTTTTTTTTTTTCCCTCCCTCCTGCTGGATCTCTGCTGGCTATAGCGTAGCTGTCCAAGGTGCTGAAATGTTGCCGGCAACAGGGCCCCGTTCCAATCTGACGGCTGGGACCTGCAGAGAGCCCCCCCCCCTCCCCGCGCCAAGGAGATGAGCGAGTTCTCACTTCTTTGAGATTGAGGTAGCAAACTGTCGTGCTTTCTGGTGGTTTTTAGTTTTTATTTTTGCTGGAAGTGCATTTTTATTGCATGCACGCTGGTTGTATTTGTTGGTTTCATTCTTTGTTTTGTGTTCTCTACATGATTTGGTCTCATGGAAGGAATATATCACCTGGGAGAAATCTGAACGAGCTTTTTCCAGAGCTTTTAACCACATCTTACAGTCTTCCCATGACCGTTGTTGTCTCTGAAAAGGGTTTTCTGAAGGTGAGATGAGATTTAAAGAGCAGGAAAAAGCTGGAAAGTGGCCCTCCAGTTAAGCTGTACTGTATTTGTGGATGTGTGGGTTTACCTGTGAGGCAAATTAAGTCACGTAGGCAGCCCACATGGAAGGAAGTTAAGTACATTTACATGCTGTTCCATGGAAGCAAAAGCTTGCTGTTTATGAGGCAGGAAGTGATTTTCCATTTGAGTGAGTCAGATTAACTTGAATCTTATTTTTGTTGCTTCGGCCATGATTTCAATCAGTTATGTAAACGTACCTCAGACCATGACAAAATCATGGAAACAAAGTCTGACAAGACTAGCAACGAGCAGTTAGACAATCAGAGAGGTTGTAAATAGTGTAGTCAGATTATCTACAGCACTTTGTTTGGAGGTAAAACTGAGGTTTAGTACATTCAATATGTCTCATTACACAGAAAAACTGTCAGTGTCCTAATTCCCTACTCATCTTGTATGTATATGGAATATATGTTGTAGATGTTGCAGCTACTATATACTATACTATACTGTACTTAACTATTGTATACAAACAGAAGTTGATACAAAATGTGCACCAACTCAAACTGCAACTTTTGGATTTCCGCCAGCTGTGAGCAGCTGTGTTTCCTTTGTGCAATGTATTGAGGGAAAATAAGGTCCATAAATAGCACATTCAGACATTAAGCATTTTTTTAAGTGTACTTTGTTTTGCCACTTAACCTGTGTGAACACACAACAAGCAGCTTAGATGTGGCACACAGTTTATGTGTGCCCAACTACAGAAAGTTGAAACAGGAAGTCAGTCTGTTATCTTTATCTGATGTTAACAACAGACAGTTTGTGTAATAATTTAACATTTACTGCAGCTTTCTCTTCTGAATACGACTGGTGGTTAAACTTAAAATCTGATTGTTTTGGCAGCGACATTATCAACATGAGTTACGGCCAAAAACTACAAAATAAGTCCCACGTTTTAAAAAGCAGGAAGTGTTCTTCCTCCAGAAATCATTAATAATGTGTTTTTTGTTTTTTTTTTCCCCATCATCACCTCTGCTGTCCCAGTCTGCAGTGGCACATTCACATCCATTCATCTAGTCAGAACTGGGCCACTTACATCACATCCAATCCCCACCGGTCCGCCATTCTTCCATGATAGATTGTTCCAATAAACTAGTATTACCTGGTGGGAACCTCAGTTTCACTCAGTAAGCAGACTTTCGGATAATATTGTTTGAAACAAAATTGTGTTCCATAGCGAATGAGCCGCAGCTCTGAAAAAAAAAAAAAAAAAAACATTATTCCTCTTTAATGTTGTTTTGCTGTTATTGCTGCTCAAAAGCCTTCATTTACTCTAAACCCTGGTGTTTTCTCTATCTGCCCCCCCCCCCCACTCCCTCCTTTTTTTTCCCCTTTATGTGTGTTCACTTGTGGCCCCGTTAGCGCTGTAACTTCAAGTCGCTTTCATTGGTTTGAGGTGCAGAGGCACACGGCGAGCAGGGGAGATGCTGCGGTAAGCAAAGCTGTGAATGCTGTCATGTGGGCTTCCTTTTCAACAGGCCTCACCATTTCAGCTGCTGTGTGAATGGGAGGGGAGAAGAAAGAGAGGGTGAGAGAGAGAGAGGAGGGGGGGGGAGGGAAGGAGGGAGAGAGAGGTCAAGAGAGATGAACGGAAGGAATGAGTGAGTGAGAGGGAGAGAGAGAGAGAGAGAGAGAGAGCTGTTCATTCCTCTCCTCTGAAAATGGAGTGATTTTCCTTCCTTGGGCACAATAGGTCCTCTGTGTCTTTTTAGTGGCAGTGAAGGAAAGCAAGGGAGTGCTCCACACACTCTCTCTCTCTCTCTGTCTCTCTCTCTCTCTCTCTCTCTCTCTCTCACACACACACACACACACACACACACACACACACACACACACACATACTCTCACTCACATATACACCCACACAGGGGATATAAGGGAGGGTTGGAACATGTGCAGCCTTGCACACCAATGAGGAAGCTTTCTCTCCAGAACACTCTCCTCTCTTATCTTGCAGCCCTGGGATACTTGTGTGTGTGTGTGTGTGTGTGTGTGTGAGAGAGAGTGTGTGTATGAGTGAATGAGTGAGTGACTGAGTGCATTCATATATTCATATACTATATGTGTGAATGTCACTATCATCGCAGAAGTGTTCTCACTCTTTTTTCCTCTCAGATATGGATGAAATGTATAAATAGGTATTTTGGGGATAAATACTCTCTCTCTCTCCTCCACTCTCTGTCTACCTCTCTCGTCCCTTCCTTCACTGTGTCCCCCTCTTTTTGTCCCCCCTCTCTGAGTGATATGATAGAGGACTATAAATTGGTATTCCTATAG